TTTTTTGAAGTAATATACAAATAGTTAACATAATTATTTTTATATGTTAAAACTAGAATACAAAACAAATAAAAACAGATGTATTTTGAACAAAGAAAAAATTAATTTTAAACAATTTTGCACACAAAATATTTAAATTTATTTGACTTCTAACGTTGTCACGAAGGAGTAATAGGCGAAAAGCATAAGAAATTTTAAATTTCGATTTCAGCTAAGTTACCTCCCTTGGACTTATGTATTTTGTGATTAGTGTGAGAAAGATTTAAATCTGCTTTTGAAAAGCAGTTTAGAATTAGAGAGGAATGACTAATTCTTTTTAAAACGTGCTTTTAAGATTTGGAATGAATGTATATAGGAATATATCTATATGTGATAGGTTGAACAGTTGATTTTTATTCATAAAAATGAGTTAGTTATGACCGACTAGTGTTCCTGTACTGATCGGGTGGGGGACACTACAGATATGCCTGGCATGAGGCTACTTTAAGACATTACACTTGGTATGGTATCAAGAATAGCAGCGTCAGTGGGTGGAGAATATCTTGCCTACATGAAACCTTTTCACATGATAATTCTGACAATAAGATGACAGGCTTGGTGAAGGGAATTCTTTGATTTCATGCCCTACTGTGAATTAGAACAGGAGCGAAAATACCAAATGGATGTTTTCTGATCAGTGCTTAGAAGGATAAAAAAAAATACTAATAACATATGTTGAAATAAAATAGATGACAATCTGAAAATTGTCCTGAGCTGAAGAAAGAATATTTCCAACCAATGAGGATTTATAAAGTTTCCCAGTTTCATCAAAGTTGACTAATGATGCAGCAGTATATAAAAACTTGCAGATTTTGTTCTCAGCGTCATGAAACTAAAATCACTTGTATTTGGATGATGAGAGCATTGGAACCCTGTCTTCTACAAGGGCATTCAGACCAAGAGGCAGTGCAATATCATCTCTCGATTCTTAGTAGTTGTTAAGTCCATACTGGCATTTTCCCAGTTTCCACCACCGATATTTGCCAATCCCACCAGCAAGCTCCTGTTTTCTACATGTTTAAAACAAGTTGTCCAATTCTGGAAAAGACTTTCACCAGGTGTAACAAGTTGAACATCTTCACAAAGATATACAAGTCTACCTAAATACATGCAAATACAAACCTCACTAATTGCCAGTGACTATGTCATCAACAACCTTGGACACCTGGCACAGATGTAGCTTGGCAATTGAAAAAAAAAATTCAGTTCAGCTGTGATGCAAAATGTCAAAGTCACCTTGTGATAATGCACCATCTAACACACAGCTACACATTCGTAATAATGAGTAAGAGAACAATATATATATATATATATATATATATATATATATATATGACTCCTGCCCTAAATTGAACATCTGACCTCCAGGTACCCAAGCAAGTGACATATCCACTATGCTAGCATTTTTCTGCTTGAACAGTATGGTAAAAAATTAACTTGCAGTTGGATTGCACACACATACTATGATCAGTTATGCAAATAATCCTGTCATTCTTTTAATGGGATTATTCAATGATTTTACCAGAAAGTATTTTTCAAAGGTTAACTTGAAAGTAGGAGTTTGGTAATTTGAGCCAGATAATACTTCTAAGTAGGATATTTGCAATAGTTTGGTTGATTTCAATTGTCACGGCTTCCTTTTAAACTAAATAAATGTCCAGTGATTTTTTTCAGAAATTAAACTTTAGAGAACATTTGTAAAGCTGAAACCATCCTAATTTATAGAAGAACTAAAGCTGAGTGTGACATTCAGTTCATGGCTCTGCTACAAAGACAGTTAAGATGTGAAGTTATCTTAATTCCTAGTTTAAAGACATGGTGAAATTTCATGGTCATTTATTAACCAATGAAATGATTGAAGGCAACTATGAGACGACAACAGAAATGACTGTGTTATGAAATAGAGTTAGAATTTCAGGATTGAATAGCATAATCAGCTACCTCAGTAGATCTAACTGGGGAAAAATATATTAAAAAAATTAAACTGTTATGAAATCTGAGTAACAGAATATAAGTAAGCTTTTCAACAGATTAAGTTAATTATATCTGAAAACTAAGTCCTCAGATTGGACTACTTGGAGATCACTTTCCATAATAGAATCTATTGCAAAAAGTAGAAAAATGGATTATAGAAACAGAACCCTCATATCAGCTGAACAGTGGTGTGTGTAAATAAAAAAAGGAGCTATTTGTAAATACAGCAGAATGTTTTGATAAATACACTTTCAATAGGCATAGTAACTACAGATCCTCTGAATAGGTCAATGAAAAGATAACTTTTTAGCTTCTAATGTTAACAGTATTTACTACTCAATTTTTCAACACTATGGCATCAAATTATAGTTTTTTCTTTTTATTTATTGCATCCCAAGATAAGAAAGACACTAAGATGCAAGGGATTACTGAGTGTGAAAAAGAAAAAAAACTTTATGAAGGAGAGAAAACAATAAAAGAACTGAAATTAAGACTAAAGATAATGATTAACAATGCATTTAAATTTTTGAAGACCAAAGTTGGCTGGAATGCAAGAAGATGGAAGAGATTTCCTCAAGCAAGAAGTGTGAGAGAAGAAACTGTTAGCATATAATTTATGATTACATCTAGCCATTTCAAATGTGAAATAATGAGACATTGCCACAAATTTAATACTGTGCTTAAATTCATAAAATCTAGGTACCATAGAGAAAAGTTCATCAGAACAATTATCATGAAAATATTGAAAGAAAAGTTTGCTGGTCCTTTGTCAATAGTACAGTTATTAGTCACTAAATACAGCAAAACTTAATATCAACTGATTGGAACTTCTCATATTTCAATAAGACAAACAGTTTGCACACTTCAGATCCTGTGTTTAACAATTTAGCATAAATGACTGCAAAGTGAATCAATTCATTATGATAATGAACTTAACTTTAAATGATAAGTTACTGTTCAGGAAGCACCCAATTAACTATACCATGATCTAAGAGAAAATTATACAAAAACTTCACTACTCCTATTTGGGTTTAAATACATGCCTCAGTCAAACAATGAGAAATATTCTGGTCCCTAATATTTTCAGAAATCAAAGATGATTTCACCAACTGAAGAATGCTGATTATAAGGAACCAATTGAAAGTGATGATTGCTCAGGAACAACCAGTCAGTTTGGAAGAAGATAAAAATAGACCCAATTTATTATAGTGGGCATGAATACATAATAACAGTTGATTATTATAATAATTCTTTTGAAACTGATTACTTGTGAGTCAGCACAGTGAGAAAAATAAAAAAAAAAACCCAAAGCTCACTTTGTTTAGCCAATGATTCCAAAGAAAGCAATTTCTAATAATAATAAACCACAATCTTGCAATAGTGTTGGAGTTTAAAAACTACATTTCTTGTCCATAACAAACATGAAGTTGCAGTTAGAAGTAAAGAAAAAGATCTTGAGTAAATGCATACAGACTGGAGACATTTAGAGATATTGTACCATAGAATTATACTAACCACAAACATTAAAAAAATCCTGCACAAAGAATGATCTTTATAACAATACCAATGTTAGAAAACTGGTTAAATCCATCAATGGTGAAGGGCCAAGATACTGTAAAGTCTTCAAGAAAGTACTCTGATTGCTATGCACAGAATCTATCATATTTCTATCAAGATGAAATCTGATTACAATTAAAATAGAAATGCATAGAACATTGGATATAAAGTTGAATTATTTTACAACTATCAACTATAAAATCCAAACTGGAAATAGGATAAAGTTTGTTTTTCTTATTTTTAGCAAAACACACAGACTCACTCTACCAAATTTAAAGTTCATATAAAGCTGCTGTAGAATATTTATCATTTTAGTACTTGAAAAATGTGAAACGTGAGGTGGCATAATGATTCTCAAAATAGAAGATGGGATTGTCAAACTGAGTTTGAATTTCAGTTGAAGTTGCTTATATTCACTTCACACCTTTGGGAGAGGCATGAATTCATTTTTTCTTGCTTTGATTAGTAGTCAGATCAGTTAAAAAACTGTTTTATCACTGTCATGTTGCAATAGTCAACTGAGGAGAGAGTGTGTAAGTGAGCTTTTGGACAAATTACTCTTGCATAATTATAACAACCTTACCTGCCCAAGCAGGTAGCAGAACAAAGCTATTATCTCCAAGGGCCATTAATTATATATTATACACATACATGGAGAAAGAAAAGGAAAATATTCTATATTATCCATAATCTTTATTACATGAATTATTATTAATTTTGACTTACCTTCATTTTAATTGTTGTAACAACAAAAACTAAGAAATTAAGATGAAAGTAAATAGGAATCAAAATTAATAATAATTGACAAAATATTGAAGTCATACTGCTGTAGCATTATTTTAAAGAGTATTTTAGTAACAATTTAAAAATTAGAAATAAAATCCTTTCCACAATCTGCAAAAATTTAAACTTGAATGAAGAAAAAAAGAAAAATTATAAAATTTAAAAACTGAATAAAGTAATAAATTATTAATTTGTTTAACTTTATTGATGCAACTAGGTTAACCATGAAGAGTTAATACATATCCTAGTCCTTAAAATCAAACTGTAATCTAAAAATGACAAATGAAAATAAAAGTATACAATTCCCAATACAAGAAACAAAAATTGTCATCATATGAAAATAATACACAACTTAAAAATTATACATTATCAAATGAAAGTGTCAATAAATACAGATTTTTTGTGAATTATTTAATTATGATTATTAAAATATTGCAGAACCTGAAACTGACAAAATCTATTCAAAATGTCACACTGACATTTTTACCTCTAAAATGTCACTCAAGCTGTAAAAAGAAAGTAGAGAATATTTCCAATATTTATTTCAATAATTTAACTAAAACTTTGAATTGGAAATATTTTTTAATGCAAAAATGACTTTCAACATTAAATATCTATATTTCCAAATGGAAACAACAAAAAAATACTTACTTTTTACAAAGGTGTCTTGCAACATCAGATTTACGAAACCCATCCAAATTGTAAAGTCTTTTGGCCAACCGTGCTGCTGAGGGCCTGTCCACACTTTTAAATGGTTGGTGATACACACTGTCAGAATCTGAAAATTCAGAGTCTGGCTCAACAGTTTCCCTAAGACTAGTTATAAAGTCTGGCTTGCCATCTACTATGTCAGGACAGCCTTCTTCAGCACTCTCGACTCCAATACGAGAGTTGAGTATAGATGCAACAATATTTGATGTAGGTGCATCTCCCTTACCCTCACTTGCCTCCGAAGAGACTGGTGACTGTGGTTCTAGAAGACTGGAAGGAGCTCCACCGTCCTGAGTCATTCTTGCTGCTGGAATGTCCGAGTCACTAGCACCGTCGACACATGGTTCCACTCTACAACAAGTGGAATCCATATCTTTTGTTTTTGTCTCCTTTCCTTTGGATTTAATAGCTCGTGGCTCATCCAAGCTTATGAAGCCTGGCATAAAGACACGGTCGGATTTTTCTGACATTTTCCGTTCCGGTGAACTCTGCAGACTCCTAGAAACAGGCACCAGTCCATCCTTATCACCTAGTTTCTCCAACGAGGAACCAGAGCTCTGATATGCTAAAGTATCTAAAGAATAAGCCAAGTTATCATCATCTATGTCAATGCTCACCAACATGACATCATTTCCTGATTGTAAATAGTTCTCATGACTTTTACTAGTACGGACTAAAGAGTGACCCCCTCGTGTTCCAGGCACAATTTTCTCAGCACTCTTGCTGGTGACTATACTGGATTTGACTTCATTGTCTGAGGAAGATGATGCCATTGTACTACTTTTTTCATCTGAAGATTCTACCACCTCAGGACTGTGTTCAGAATCACTGTTGGACAGACTGTGTTTGGAACTTTCCTTCATGGTGGACAGCTGAGCATGGTGACTAGCAGGATCCAAAGGATGGAGCTCAGTTGGGTCCCAAGATTCCATTGAACTGGAGGGTGTCTGTCGAAGAGATGGAACAAACTCCTCTGGACTAGCAATTGGAGGACTAGACATAGAGAGAGGGGGTGATGGCCAGTTTATATTTCCATCATTTCTGTTGTCAGCTGGAGCGGACTCTACTCGTCCAAGAGGAGTATGGACTGGTTTAGGGTTGTCTGGTCCACTAAAAGAGTGGTGTCGTGGCGCGCCTACTCTCTTATTTTCATATGTTTTTTTCTCTGCTGCTATACGATTGAACTCTGCAGAGATGAGACAGATGTCTGCTTCGTCATCATCGTTGCTGCCATCAACGGACACATTATAAGGCACCTTCTTGTGACTGTCCATCTTTTTGGGGGACTTGTGTAGGGCAGTTGTCTTGATGATCATGTCACCTGTCATGACAAATGTCTCAAAACCAGATCCTTTGCTTGGAGATTCAGCAGGTGCTCCTTCCAGAGATGACTCTTTTGGGACTGTGTTGGATTTGTGCTGTGCAACGGTATCAACAATACCGTTCTCAAAGCACATGGCCTTCACATAGTTGTCGTTGTGTTGGCTGCGTACATCAGAGGGCCGGTGCACCTTGCCATTGCGGCTTGCTGCACTCTTGTGGAGCTGGCAGGACACTGGAATGGGGATGCGTGAGGGGCTGTTTGATACCCTGTCAACCATCTTGATTGCCATCAACCCCCGACACCGCCTGACTTGCCATCAGTCATTTGTCTTTTCTGCAATCATAAAAAAGAACTTATTAGCAGAAATACAAGTATAACAAACAAGATATTACAGGTTAAGCAAGAAGAAAACATTGTAATTTCAAAACATTTTTTTTTCCGAGTTTCAGACAACTGATTGCCTCCAACATTTCTTAGTCATCATTACTGAAAGAAATACATATCAGAAGTGGTATCATTTGAATGATTTTAGGATTTGTTAGCTATACTAATAAAAATATGTAAAGGATTTTATTTCTATGATACAAAAAAAAAAAAAAACAGTAAAAAAAAAAAAAAATATTTAAAAAAATGAAATTAAACTATTTCAATGTTCTTATGAACTTTTAACTAATTTTTTTTCATCAAATTTCTGCTGATTTTTATATAAAATGCTTAATTGATTTTTACATTTATTCTACAGCTATTAAGTTATCAGTCTCAAAAAATAAGCTTCTATTAAGATTTGAACTCTCATATCTTATTCCTTGGAGTATTCCTTGCTGTGACAGCACTTTGCCAGACAAAATAAAATAAAGTGTGTGTGTGTGTGTATATATATATATATATATATATATATATATAGGGCACCTCAGGGCAGTGTAATGGTTAGCAAACTTGTCTCGCTAGGACAATTACAACTGAGTAGTGAGTTTGATCCTCACTGGGTGTCCCATACTTTCAGCTTTGTGCCACATATAGCTATGCTTGGAAAAATATTATATATATATATATATATATATATATATATATATATATATATATATATATATATATATATATATATAAATAAGAGGGTTGAACTGAGAAGATTACTTGGGCCTTGGAGGACTGACCACTAACAACTACCATCAGGTCCCAGAAATTCATACACAGATGTCCTCAAGGACAAATGGCACAGTGAATAAACAGTGACAGGACCCAAAGAGCAAGTTCAATACCTGGTAAAGACAGTGGAGAACTTGGAGAGTTGAATTAACAGAATATAACTTATAACCGACGTCCATTAGACATGGTACGTGGAACTAGAACAGTCTACACCAGTGAGTGAAATAAAGGGTTCAGTTCGACATTCCAACCACCTGAAGAAGGCCGGAGCATACAACGCTGAAATGTTGTGATAAATATGGCAACAAAGATGAGGATGTAGTGTACATAATACCTAATCTCAGAAATATAGACAGGTACTGAAGACAAAGGATGTTTTGGAGAATTTACATGCCTGAGTACAGAGATCTTTCATCCTACTCACCAAATCTTTCTCCATCCAATTCTTTCCATTTTCCAAACCTTAAAAGGAGTTGAAATTGAAGGAAATATTCAAATGATGGAGAGGTGATTGTAGCATTATATTGAACAAATATATCAGAATTTGGAAAAGGTTAAAGAAATTTGAGAAATGATGTGTTATATGTGTTGAACTGCAGAGTGAATATCTAGAAGAGGATGTATGCTTCATGGTTCCAAGGAAAAATTCTCAGCCTGACCAAGAATAAAAATTTATTGGTCATGCTGAGAGTTTTTCAGTATCCCCTCATATGCCATCAAACTGTAATTATGGATTTATGTTCTGAATCCATTTGAGTTAATAAAAATATAAAGATATTTTTATTAACTCAAATGGATTCAGAACAGAGATTACAGAGAGATTAAGATCATACTTTTCTGTGAAATTTTGCTAAAATATTAAAGAAAATTGACAAATCCAACTAAATTGCCAATACCTTTTTTTTCTAATTAAAATGATGACACCAATGAAGTTCAGTAGTATTGTTCAGATTCTGACACAAACAAATGAACACCATGTTGGCAGGTTGATAGAGTGATCTGACCTAGCTGTAACAGCTTGGTAATCTAGGTGGTGTGCATACACAAGTGCACACACACATGCCAGAAATAGATGATGATAGTGATAGATATTACTGATAAAATATCTATAATTCTAGTCTATAAAAAAAAATAATGAGCATACATTTTTCTAAATTGACACAAAAGATTTTTCATTTTGCAACTTTAAAAATCCAGAGATGGTGACAAGATGAATAATTATCACTTATTTGATGTTATCATAATCTGGAGTTACTGAATTGTTGTCAAACTAAAAAGCCTTTTCTTTTTTTTTCAATTAGCCAAAATACAAAAATGCCAAGAAACATTTATAAAACCCCCACCAGAAGAAAACCTGACTAAGAAATGTAACAAAGAATACAAAGGCAAAATCAGCTGCACTCAAATAGTAAGGCTTCAGGAACATAGAAAAACTGCAATCTATGGTGAGGCCTTGAAATCATGTATGGCTAACGATGTGTACAAGGAGGCACACCAACTCTTCTGGAATTAAGTTGCTATAATAGACATTGACTGATATTGTAAAATGAATCAGTACATATACTATGGTCAAATTATCAGTTGACCAATCAACACTACCATTGGAGATTCAAATTAGAACAGAATAAAGTAGGAAAAAAAAAAAGAAAAAAAAAGAAAAGAAAATACTAAAATACAACCCAAATTTTCTACAGAACATAAAATGTCTGTCTGGTTCTGTTGAAGTCATAAGTTCACTAATATACCAACCATATACAAATTTATGTGTTGTCCAAAATATAAAAGTATTGTGTAATAATGAATCATACCAACAATCTCTTTCAACATCTGAGTCAAGATTCATTTTATGAGAAAATATGATTCATGTAAGCTTAATAAAATGGTAACAAGAAAAGAAATATTCATATACTGCCTCATTAAGTATCACTGCAAATTAAACAATTTCACCAAATGAGCAAACATTGTATCATATACCATCAAGGGATAATGATCAATATAAAAGGCACCATCAAAGAAATATTTGCTCTACACATAAAAATCTACCAGAGTAATAGTCACAAAATGATACATGCCAGAGGATATCCAGAAGATTTGTACTTTATAAAATATCAGGAGCGAGTATTTTACTCTACAAATAGCCCAATAGACTTAAACGTCTACTGGAAGAAAACAACCAAAAACTATACGTATGAGATTCTATGAAGCTGTGGAAGAATATAAAGGCACAACCAGTCACCTAAAAATAAAGCTTGAGCAAATCTGTAATCTTTAGAGAGAATTTCAAATTAAATATGGCTAATCATGTGGAAGAAGAGGTTACCACGACCACAGTGGAACAAAGTTAAAATAATAGTCAAATAACATTACAAGATATTTGAAAGATGCAAATCATTCAATCAGTATGTCCAACATAATTATGAGCACGATATGGGAGTTTAGTCTCTAATTAGAGAAGAACTTAATAGAGGCTAAGTTCCCATTGGATAAAAAGATAAATAATGTAGACAAATGTACACAGTGTTGCCTAACAGGATATAGCCATGTATAAAATGTCCATCTAGTTTGTTGGATCAGGAAGTATATAACAGCACAGTGGGAAGATAGAGTGGAAAAAACAAACAATTACTATGAATTTTGAAATACTGTAGAGCTTGATAAAGAACAAGAATAAATAACTATAAATCAAATCTGAAGTTCTTGGCAGGTTATCATGACAGGCATGTGAGGAAGACCAAAGAGAACAGCAGTCAAAACAGTGTGATAAAGACAACAAAGAAGAAGAAACTTATCCAAAGGGATATTAATCATAATCACCATATAGCAGAACCTATATTCTAACAGCTCTATATTTTTTCTTTTGTTTAATTAACTGTGTCCTCAAAATGAATCAACAAAGTTAAATACAGATTATGAAAATTATTGGGCAACTAAAAAGTTAATTTGGTTTATTAAGTGTTTTTTTTTTGGGTTTTTTTTGACATCAACTTTATTGAATGGTGAAGCTTGGGCTGTAGTGTTAGATATCTCAAAGATGTTTGACAGGATTTGGCATGCTGGTCTTCTTCACAAGTAGAAAGGTTATGGTATTTTTGGTTGAGTCTTTGGTTGGATTCACTCTTTCTTATCAAATCATATGAAAGTAGTCTTAAATGGCCACTCTTCTAGATTTTTTGTTTTACATTAATGTGGGTTTATCCTTGGGCCTACTTTGTTCCCGATGTTCATTAATGATCTTCTTGATGTCATTAGTATCTATGCTGATAACTATTTACTCCTGTGTTAATGGAAAGTGTAACAAGTTCGATAAAGTCAATTTGGTAACTGATCTCAAAAATGATAATGTTATATTATTTAAACAAGATTCCTTATTTTACTGCAGGAATAACAACTAACACAATCAACAAAAATGTAAATTCTTTTACTACAAACGAAACTATTAATGAGGCACTTCTTGTTCCCATGCATATGTACTTCCAAATAATGATTTCATTTTCGCATTATACAATAGGCTTTTAAATTTTCCAATTGGTAAAACATTTTTTGTAGAAGTCAACAGTTGATTTGGAATTAAATTTTGATTTAAAAATTCATAGCATTGTAAGTCGATTAACACCAACTGATATTTTCCTGCGACTTGCTCCACAAATTAATTAGAAAATTAGTGTCCAGATGTTAAGTTGGCAGGCTGGACAAAAATCCTTCACAGGCTGGATGTGGCCCTTGGGATCCGGGGGTTGCCGACCCCTGGTCAAACTCAATATCATTAAGTAAATGAAATCGCTATAGAAGTTTTCTAACCAGTACAAATTTTACAATGCAAAAACAATTCGTCAATGAAATCAATTTTTTCCTTATTTTTACTGAAAGTAATAAAAAAACAAAGTTCTACTTAAAAAAAAAAAAAAGTTTATGAAAGAAATATTAAATTTAGCGGATGAAATATTTAATACATTATCAGAAAGAAGTTGCAAGTCATTAACAAAGACTGTAATAATAACACTAAATTCACCATGATTACTGAATTCAGCTAAATATAATTCTTTCAATGGAAATAGAAAAAAGCTTTACAAATTCAAGTTGGCAGATAAGTGGCATCAAATTTTAAAAATATTTTAAAATCGGTTAATTAGAATTTTGTGTGTG